GCCGAGCTTTCTCCATTCCTCCCCTACTCCCTTCTCTCTAACCCTCTCCCCTTCCAACAACCCTCCCACCCCCCCCATGCACCCAAGGTTACCTGGGACTCTTGACTATTTCCTACCTCCTGGCGGATAGCTAAATAATCTTCATCAGGTTCGTCTTCTTATTTAGCTTCTCTAAGATCACGAATAATAGGCTCGAAGACCTTAAATTATGGTTAGAATCCACTTATGAGTGAATACATACCGTGTTCCTCTTTTTGGGTCTGGCTTACCTCACTCAGTAAAGCGTTTTCTATGTCCATCCATTTGCATGCAAAATTCAAGATGTCATTATTTTTTACCGCTGAGTAAAACTCTAATGTGTATATGTTCCACACCTTTTTTAACCATTCTTCTATTGAGGGGCACCTAGGCTGTTTCCAGGTTCTGGCTATTACAAATAGTGCTGCTATGAACATAGTTGAACAAACACTTTTGTAGTATGTTTGGGAATCTCTAGGGTATATTCCCAAGAGAGGAATTGCTGGGTCCTGTGGGAGGTTGACTCCCAGTTTCCTGAGAAACCGCCACACTGATTTCCAAAGTGGCTGCACAAGTTTGCATTCCCACCAACAATGGATGAGTGTTCCCCTCATTCCACATCCTCTCCAGCATAGGCTATCATTGGTGTAAGAACAGAGAAGTCGACCTATGGAATCGAATAGAAGACCCAGATATTAACCCACAAACGTATGAACACCTAATTTTCGACAAGGGAGCTAAAGGTATACAATGGAAGAAGGAAAGCATCTTTAACAAATGGTGCTGGCATAACTGGATGTCAACCTGTAAAAAAATGAAAGTAGATCCATATCTATCACCATGCACAAAAATCAAGTCCAAATGGATTAAAGACATCAACATTAATCCGTCCACTTTGAACCTGATAGAAGAGAAAGTGGGAAGTAGTCTACAAGATTTAGGCACAGGAGGCCTCTTCCTAAGTAGGACCCCAGCAGCACAGACAATAAGAGAAACAATGAATAAATGGGATCTACTGAAACTGGGAAGCTTCTGTAAAGCAAAGGACACTGTCAGTAGGACAAAAAGGCTGCCTTCTGACTGGGAGAAGATCTTCACCAACCCCTCATCAGACAAAGGTCTGATCTCCAGAATATACAAAGAACTCAAGAAACTAGGCACTAAAACTCTAATTAACCCAATTAAAAAATAGGGTACTGATCTGAACAGAGAATTCACAACAGATGAACTTCGAATGGCCAGAAGACACTTAAGGTCATGCTCAACCTCCTTAGCGATCAGGGAAATGCAAATCAAAACCACTTTGAGATACCATCTTACACCTGTCAGAATAGCTAAAGTTAAAAACGTATTTGAAATTTTGATTTAAAATATTATTCAAGAATATAACCCCTTAACATGTTATTCATTGAATTTACTTAATACCTAAATTAGCATCAAACTCAAACTCTTCTTTTTATTAAAACAAGATTTAATTCATATCTTTTGAGATAATATTCTCTCAAGTGAATTATATCTTAAAATACACAGTTGACATTAAATTGTGACTTGGTATTCAGATAGATCTCATTCCAGAAATTCAAAGAATTCAAATGCTGCCAGGGCCATGATGATCTGAGTGGCCTGTGTTCTCAACTGGGGCCATGTTGTCATCCAGACCAGGTCTTCTCCCAAGAACATTTCTGGGTCCTTGTCCCTACAGCAACCAGGGTCTGAGTTGATATCCATGGCCCCTGTGACTACCAATGATCTTGGGGATGCTGTCCAAGGGCCATTCTAATGCTGGGGCCATATTGATCTGGGTAGCCTGTGCTGCCACCTGGGGGCTATGGAGATCTCCAGGCATGGGATGCTGCCTATGGCATGAATGGGCCCATAGCCCTGCAGCAGCTGGAGTCTGGGGTAAAGTTCATGGCTTCTATTACTATCAAGTACTTTGCAGATGCTCAGGGTCCACTCAGACACCTAAGACCATGTTGCTATTTGGGGGGCCTTGATGCCACCAGGGCCATACTGATCTGGGTGCCCTACGCTACCATTGGGCCATGATAACATCTCGTCAAGAACTGCTGCATAGGACCATGTCTGAGTCCATGGGCCTGCTGCAACTGGGTTCTGTGACAATGTCCATGGCCAGTGTTAGTACAGAGGTATCACAGGAACCACAGGTGTGGAGATCCATGCCAGCTTTGCCCTTCACTGGTCCTGGGATAGCTGCTCCCCCCAATCTGGATACTGCAGCAGGAGAACCGGCCCCACCCATCATTACAAGTTTGCAACTCACCTGGGTAGCACACTAGAGCCGATTCTGTTATCCTGTATGCTGGTGAGCTAGTCCTGTGTGAGCAACAGAGCTGACCCCACCCACCCACCCCATCTCTTCCATCTGCCATGTGATGGCATAGGTGAGGGAAAGATACCCTTCCCTGTCTGCCTCTTGCTACCTGAAACAAACAAAAGTTCTGGTCCTGGTGTCACAGAGTGAGAGAACTAACCCTGCCCCTACATAGCTGCATCACATAGGAGATCGAGCCCTACACCCCACAGGAATAGCACACTAGAGCTAACATTGTTATTTTGGGCTTAGGTAAGCCAGGCATGAGGGTAGGAGAGTAGGAGGGCTGATCTTGCCCCCCATATCCCTAGAGCAGTCAGAAGAGATGGCCTTGCACTTCACCTGGACAAAACAGTAGAACTGGCCCTGGTGTTGTGAGCATGAGCCAGATGTGAGGACCTGAGAAAAAGAGAGTTGGCCCCTCCCTTGCTGTAGGCTGCATTGGGTGACTAGTTGAGGCTGTGCTAGAGAACTAGCCTAGTGGTGGTGAGGGAAAGCTTGTGGGTTCATGAATCCAGTTCTAACACAGGTCCAGAACCAGGACTCCGAGTTAGCCGATCCCCTTTAAGAACAGTTGGAGCCCTGTTCTTCAAGAAGACAAACCTACAGATCCAAAATCGCAGGATCTCCAGGACAAAGGACAACAGGATATCCACTAGGAACCCCGGAGAGAGCCCATTATTGATAGTGTAACAGAAGTCAGAGGTCTCAAACAAGACCAATAACTCATAACAATGAATATTTATAAGATCAGTGAACTAAAAGGTAAACTATGTGACTAAATGAGACACATTACAGCTTCCACGATGAGATTCTTCTTTTTTTTGGGGGGGGCACTTTTTGTTTGATTTGGTTTTAGGTTTTTCTTCTAAATTTTGTTTGTTTGGGGGGAGGTTTCTTGGGCAAGGGGATGGAGAAATCAGTGAGATCAGGATTCAGCATGTAAAATCCAAAAAAAATCAAGAAAAGTTAAATAAAATTTAATAAAAACATTTTTAAAAATCATAGAAAGAAAACCCACCTGTGAAGAAAACAATAATCAAGTGATTTGTTCCTTCCCAGAGGAAATAAAAAGCTTTCACTTCGCTTGTATTAACTGTATGGTATTTATTTGAAATTTATATTTGAAATGTATCTGCATTGCCAAGTGTCATCTTTGCATGAAAATCTAAAGCTGGCTTACTGGTTTATCATTTGTCTTTTTATTCATGTATGGTAGAAGAAAACCTCAGTCTTTGTCCATTTGGATTTGGAATGCTGCCTTCTCTTGCTATAGCTCCAATGTAACATGTGTTACACATGTGTCACTACAGCAACCTAGTTTATCCTCTTTTCCAGATGAAATACTAAAGCTCACACAACTAAGTATCTAGGCTCACATACCACATATAGAAAACACCGTGGCTATTAATTCACATCTTGACTGCACGGTCTCCAAATTTCTTTCCCTTTTTCTACTCTGCTCTTTTTAAAGTTTCTTATCCTGGAAATATATCACAGAAGGCAAATTGTTTGGGAAACAGTATTTTCAAACACTTAGTATCAGAACTGCATGCAAACCATAGGTGAGTTACAAAATTTTAAGGATAGAAGAAATTCTAGTCATTCTCTTGTCTAATGTTCTATATTATTTTAGTTTATTCAGATTTAAGTAAAGTACCTATTACTCATTATTTTCTAGTAAATCAAGTTGAGCACAGGTGATTCAGTAGATGGGAGAGGATTCTCCCTTTGCTGGAGGTGTCCCCTGATATACATTGTTCAGACCCTCTGGGTTCATATAGCAATTTGCCTGCTTCAGGTCATACAGTGTGCTTTTTTAAGGTATATTTGGACTTCTTTAAAGGGATCTTTAGTAAATTAGGGCATGATGCCTGATTTTTAAAAGCCAGCTTGCTTCAATGAAGCATCACCCGGGAAGAGAGTCTTGCCTGAGTCTTACATAGGCCTGTGGACAAATCCTCGAGGGACTGTCTTGATTGTCAGTTGACTCAGCCCACTGTAGGTGGACCCATTCCCTAGGCTATGCCGTACATTATATAAGGGTGGAAAAAGGTAGCTAAACCAATAAACAGGCAGCTTGAATGCAGGTGTCTTCTAAGCTCTGCTCTTGATATGAGTATGTGTGCGTGTACATGTGCATATGTGTGTGTGTGTGTGTGTGTGTGTGTGTGTGTGTGTGCAATAGAAAAACTGGATTTACAAGTGAATTCAGATGAAGGTAATCTGCCCAATATGTGTTCTGAGAACCAAATTTCTATCATCTACCAGAACAGCAAGTACCATTGAGTGCATATATATATATATATATATATATATATATATAATATATCATATGCAAAGTACTATATACTGCATGCAAAGGAAGCTTGACCTTTAAAAACATCACATTGTATGTGCAAGGGTTAATGGCACTTAGGTATCTTGCCTTCAGAAGCTAGCTGATTAAATTCTGTTGTGGATGATTCCAACTCTGAAGACTGATTTGAAAATTGTTAACTGACTTGCATCAAATTATCATCTCTCCAAGAGTTTCTTTCTACTTTTGGAAAATTTACTTAAATTGTGGTTCTTTGTCATAATCTCAGGAAATGTAAAATCAATAAAAATGAGTAGATCTGTATTTCTAAAAATATTCTTTTCACAGGAAGAAGAGTTGAGGAAGAGTGGGGAGGCCAAGTATGCACACCTGAGCGACGAACTGCATGTATTAATTGAAGTGTTTGCTCCACCTGGGGAAGCTTATTCACGGATGAGTCATGCCTTGGAGGAGATTAAAAAATTCCTGGTTCCTGTAAGTGATTTTTTTTTATTTTACAAACGGTTTCTTATCCATTCCTATTTTAAAATGTGTCTTTGATCTCTACTGACATTTTGTAAGAAAATTCATGCTGTACATTAATTATCTATGTGTAGATTTGATACAAATCTTAAATAAATAGAGAACACAAGACATTTGTCATAAGAACTGGCATGTTGGCACTTTCTACTAGTCTGACACAAGTATTCATCATAAGCCAGTTGCATAGTATACACCAGTCCACAGCCAGAAACACTAATAAGAAAAATGTACAAGCAAAAATACATGATTTATGTCACCATTCCCTCTTTTAACCCCTTGGCATGTATTTTGATTATTTATAATTAGTAGGAAAGCATTGTGAAAAGAATAAAGAGGATGCTATTGAATATGTACTATTTATTAGGGCAATGATGGTATTTTAAAATAACAACTGCCTTTTATGCGGTAGTTTCTCAGGTTCTAGCAGATACAAAATATAGTATAAAATAATATTGATAGAGGTAGATAAATGTTAACGTAGAAATTTAGAAATGTATACTCACCATACAACATGAGACTAGATGATTCTCATTTAGTAAGGTGACAAATTCAGCAGCAAATTGAGTACAGTTCTCTACTAATTTCCTAAGAAGCAGAAGAACATAAAAGTATGAAGTCTGAAGGCTGACAATTGAGCATTCTAGAAACAAATGCTTCAGGAGAAAGCTTACCAAAAGGCTTGAGACTGATGGTGAGCCATTGAGAGAATGCTGAGTAAAGTTCCTGGAAGATCTTAGAAAGATTCTCAGCCCAGAGCATAGATAACTGAGATTATTCTGCAAATGAAGAAACTCAGTGAAAACCTCAGAGAAGGTGGCTGGCAGATAAGATCCACTGATTAGAAGTGGTATTGAAAGCCATAAAGGAAAAATATCAGAGAATTCCCTAAGCGCACAAGCATTAAGGTTCAGCCACATTTTCTAGTTACAAGTCCAGTCCCAACGTTAATCTTTGTCAAGACACAATTATAGAATAATTGCACACTAGGTTGAGTATTTCTTAATTGCAGGTGCACAGTTAGTATTTGAGTCTCATCTGTAACCCTACCTAAATAGATCTTATTCTGGAGATTGATGATGCTATATTCTTTGTCCCTTTGGTTTTCCAATAAAATATTTAGTCCTAAGCTGAATAAGGCATTTCAGTCTATTTAGTTAGGAGCAGACCAGATAAACATATGTGTAATGAAGCCAGGTCTGTTTGTATCACAATTTCATTGTATAGCTTTAGATAAGGTACTTAAATGTTTAGAACATCAGTTTATTGGTCTTTAAAATGAAAATGAACATAATTTGCTCACTTCAGTCACAATTATTATAAATATTAAACAGGATAGAACATGCAAAGGGTTTAAAAGTAATAAAGCATTGGAGAAATTGATCTTTTAAATATTGTATAATAGAATTACCTTTAGATGACTTTATGAGGTAAAATATGTTAGACAGTGTAATAAGTCTTTTTATTTGGAATATTATATGTATATATATATATGTATATCTGTGTATATATGCATACATATAATATAAATGCATTTATGACACAAATACAATTTTCTCACATTCCTTTCCTCCCTCCAAACTCTGTTATGTACTCTTCCCTACTCTTCTTCAAATACATGGCCACTTTTTTTCACTAATTTTTATTTTATGCCTAGATTCCTATTTGCATTTTTTTACATACATATTTTTACATATATATATATATATATCTAAGTGGAACTTTCTCAGTCCCTATATCATTAATTGTAATATGTCTTTGATACATATATATTGGGCATAGACTGTAGGCTATGTTAACCTACTTATATAGTAAATATCTATGACATGCCTCACTTTCTCATATATTATACCTTGTAATAACTTCATTTCTATCTTATTCATTGAAACATATATAATAGACAAAGTTGGGAATTTATTTCCAGGCCAACATTGTATCCTTCCTCATTGTATCATTTATTGTATCATTTATCATATTGTATCATTTATCATCTTGGTTGACAGTGTTTGTCTGACTGTTTAACTATTGAAATGATTGACCAAATTCAGCAGAAAAAAAACAAGAAAGGAAAATGCAGTCTGGCCACATTTATGATCCATTTGTGCCATATAAATGTGGTTTTCCCCCTTGCCCTTGCTAATTCTGTGAAGACTTTTTTCTAGTATAGTTGTTCATTCCCTTATTGTTACATGTTTTGACTTTTATTTATGGAACATACAAGCTCAGTCTACATCTTTGAAGATTATTCTTAAAAAGATTAACATGGCTAGTCACGTTCCATTAGCATTTTTTCAAATCTACATGTGCAGGAGCATCTTCAACTCATGCAATGCTGTTGTGACAGGTTCATGGCATCATTGAAAACTCTGTTCAACATGTTGATTCATTATTCTTACCCTCTTTCCCAATTTATTTTTCTCATAGGTATTTATTTGGCTTAGATTATACATAGAGAGATGGATATATAGATAGATGATAGATGATATAGATAGATAGATAGATAGATAGATAGATAGATAGATAGATAGATA